AAAGAGAGTTTTATAAGGTATTGGATAAAACCTTTTCTGTTTTGTGTATGGCAGAGTGGGCCTGGATCCTGGGCCTCTGTTCTCTTTTCATGTCCTAAACCCTGCATCAATTTTTCATGTAAATTGATGGTTCTTTAGTTAACTGTCCCTGGGTGCTTTACAAATTGGATGTGACTCAACCATTCTTGGTTTGGCTAGTCACCTTTTATGGTTTGGATTTCTATAATCACTACTATTTGGGAGGGGCCTAGTTTGAGTTCTATCATTGTAGAAAGTGCTGGAACGGCAGACTCAGGTCTTCAGGCCAGTTTTGAGTCCGAGCTTTGCCCGTCTGTAGCTGTGTCACCTGGGGTAAGTGACCGAGCTTTTCAGACCTCAGTGCATCATTGGTCATGTGGGGCTGTTAGGGTCTGGCTCTTTATTTTGTTTTGAGGACCATTATCGGGCGACGCCTCAAAAAGTTAAACAGAATTATCATGTGACCCAGCAATTCCATTCTTAGATATAGAGAACCCAAGAGAACTGAAAAAAAAAAAAAACCAAAACCTCAGTGTTTACTAAAGAATTATTCGTAATAGCCAAAAGATGGAAACCACACAAATGTCCATCCACGGATGGGCAACAGTGGATAAACAAAAATGTCATCTAGTCACACAATGGAATATTCTTCTGGGAGTGAAGTATTGACACACGTGACAGCATGGACAAACCTGAAAACACCATGTCAAGTGAAAGCGGCCAGACCCAGAAGGCCACATGTTGAATGATTCCATTTATATGAAATGCCCAGAACAGGCATTTCCCAGACAGTCTAAACAGACTTGAAAAAGAACAAAGATGCAGGATTCACATTTATCAATTACAACACTTGCTACAAAGCAACAGTATTCCAAACAAGGTGATACTGGCATAAGGGTTGACATCTAGAGCATTGGAAGAGAATTGAAAGTACAGAAATAAACCTCGTGTTTACAGTCCATTGACTTTTAACAAGAACTCCAAGAATATACAATGCAGACACAACAGTCTTTTCAACAAATGCTGCTGGGACAACTGTATACAAAAGAATGAAGTTGGACCACCATCTCATACTATAGACAAAACTTAGCTTCAAATGGATCAAAAAACTAAATTTAAGAGCAAAAACTACAAAACTCTTAGAAGAAAACAGACATAAGCCTTTGTGACTTTGGATTAGGCAATGGTTTCTTACATATGGCACAAAACGCACAAAACAACATAAACAAAGAAATAAAAAGGACTTCATCAAACTTGAAAGCTTTTGTGCTTCAAAAGACACTTATCAAGAAAGTTAAAGGACAATTCACAGAATGGGAGAAAAAAATTGCAAATCATATGTCTAACAAAGGACTAGTATTCAGAATATAAAAGGCCTCTTGCAACTCAACAGTGAAAAATAAATAATGCAATTAATAGGCAAACATTTTAGACAGATATTTCTTCAAAGAAGATATACACATGGCCAATAAGCATAAGAAAAAATGCTCAACAGCATTCGTCATTATGGAAATCCAAATCAAAACCACAGGGATACAAGTACACACCCACTAAGATGGCTGCAATCAAAAAGTCGAACAATAACAAGTGTTGGCTGGAATGGAGAGAAATTGGAACCCTCTTCCACTGCTGGAGAAAATGTAAAATGGTGCAACTGCTTTTGAAAACAGTTCCTCAAAAGGCTAAACAGAGAGAAACCATGTGACTGACCAATTCCACCTATAAATATACATCCAAGAGAAATGAAAACACATGTCCACACAAAATCTTGTGTGCAAATGCTCGTAGCAGCATCAGTCATAATAGCCCCAAAGTGGAAACAACTCAAATGCCTATATATTGATGAATGGATAAAAAAACACATGGTACATCTATAGAATATTATTTGGACCTAGAAATGAATGATGCCCTGATATGTGCTACAGTCTGGATGAACACTGACGGTGGTGCTCACCACTGTCACAGTCACAGAAGAACCACAGTCACAGGAGACAAGCTGTTAGAATATTTTATTTATATAAAGTGTCCAGAATAGGTGAGTCTGAAGATTCGTGGTTGCCTAGGGCTGAAGGTTGGATAGAAAGCGGGGCGTGACTGCTAATGGGTACAGGATCCCTTTTCTGGGTGATGAAAATGTCCTCAAATAGGTTCTGGTGACACTCGCACAGCTCTGCGAATGTGCTAAACCACTAGGCTGTACGCTTCCAAAGGTGGAATTTTACAATATGTGACTCACACACACCTTAGTAAAAAATGGAGAGTTTTAGTGACTGTCAGTAGCTAGCAATGGATTATTTAAGGATAAATCATACTTTACTAATCACATTTACTACCATTTTCTCCCCCCACATGTGGACTAGACAAATAGATTAGTGAAATGACAAGACAGTGTATCTTGATTTTAAATGAGTAATTTGGCCCAACCATTGTTCATTTATTCATTCAGTAATTCATTTTTTGTTGCAAGTTTACTAAGAATTTACTAAGAATGAGTTATGCTGGCTTTTGGAGATACATACATCAATATGATCCACTTCTTCATGAAACCAGCCTACTAATTAAAAACAATTATAAATTAAGAAAGAGTTTCTCAAAAAGGTTAAGTCAGCATCTCATAGGCAGTAAATGACAAAGCCGGGATTTGAACCCAGTTATATTTGGTTCGAAAGCCCATGATGCTCCGTTCCATTGTTCTTCCAATAGCAGCATGCCTGCATGTAAGCGTAGGAGCTGGGGACAGTGTAATTAGGGCGATTCACAGAGGGGAATGGCTGTAGGCAGAGAAGGTTAATTCATGGACTCCCTTCCCCCTGGAGGGACAGCCTCTGCATAGCCACAGGGTCAGCCCGTGGCTGGATCCTATTTGAGAGTCTCACCAACAACATAAATGAAGACACACAAGGCTGACTGAGCACAGTTGTTGTTGACATGAAGCTGGAAGTGACAGTTAATATGCTCCAAGAAAGACGAGGGATTCAGAAAGATTTTGTCAGATGGAACCCTGAGCTGATACTAATACAGGATGTAGGGAGAGCCGGCTTAACAGGAATTCACATGAAAAAGACTTGGGCATTTTAATTGAGAGCAAGCTCAATATGAGCCCAAGGCGTGAGCCAACAAAAACTACGGTGTTCTTATCCTGCATTAAGAGAAATGCAGGGTCCAGGAAAAGGGACGTCATTGTCCTCCTGGTCACTGCTCTCCTCAGACAAATTCCGAAGTCTCTTGTTGGGTTTTGTTCAACTGTAGGTAAGAAGAACATTGACCGAGTGAAGCTGTGTAGAGGCCAGAAGCCATGTCAGGTGAAGAACTGGGGGTGTTTAGCGTCCTAGGAAGACGTGGGCAGTGCATTGGGGGGTGGCAGAAGGGAAGTGAAGCCGGAATTTTCAAAGATCTGAGGGGAGAGTGTAGGGCTGGTGGTTTCCTCCAATTCTGTTGAACAGGCAGAACCAGGACCCACATGAGACAGGAAGACAGCTTTAAGCTCACAAAATTATTTTCAAATAGTTGGAGTTGTGGGAAAATGGAATAATCGACTTTGTAATTTAGTGAACAGTTTCTCCTGGGGACTCATTCAAGAAGGAGAGTCTGGAGGACCACTTGTAAATAATTTAGAGGAAATTCCTGGAACTTCATTGAAGGTTGGGTTTCATGGGTCCTTCAACCCATGAAACCCATTTGAACTCAAAGAACCAATAACAATTTTAATAACAATCATGATTGCTGTATCAGCTAATATGTACTGAGAAGAGAAAGCTATCGTAGTAAATATTCTATATGCAATATCATATTTAGCCCTGACAAGAACTTAATGCAGTACTTTATCATCCCCAAATTTTATAGACAAAGAAACAGGGGCCTTAGGCAACTTTCCCAACGATACCTGGTGTGTAAGTGCTAGAATCAGCTCTCAAACTATAGGCCCTGTGATATCAGAGCCCCAGGGCTGCCACGCTCTCCTACACACTATTGCAATCTCTGTATTATTGAATGTGTTTATAATAGGATGGTGCGGTTGTGAGATCATTTCGTTCAAACTCTATCTGTTCAGAGTGAACCTATATGGGAGGCTCTCATATTGTCAGATAGCTGAATAAGGTCAAGAGGAACTCTTATCTTCCTGGAGGGTAAATGCCTGCTCCGTGGAATTTCAGGACCCACACGTTCGGCGTTTAAAAAAGCAGACAGTTTAGCTCACATTGTCATTCTTGGATTGTGTTAAACGAGGCATTGCCAGAGTACACAAAAGCAGATAGCTTGGTTTCAGGTTTTCATTCCTGAATTGGGATTTCAATATGCATGCCATTTGAGCAGATGCCTTCCAAAGAGTGACAGAGGAAGGGATGGAAATTACCGTATTGACTCTGGTGCGAGGCAGGTGACTTTCTTGCAACTTGTACAACGATTTTGCTTCCCTATAAATAGTGAGCCGGTGACGAGCAGGTGCTCTCTGATATGTTGTTTGGGAAAATATGTGTTTAACTTCAGTGTAGCGCCCCCGCCCCCAACCCCCAAAGTCAGTCTTCGGAAAAGAGGAAGGACACTCATGTTTTGCTTTAACAAGTCCTTGTCTAGTTTGGAGTCACGTTGGGGCATCCAATCAGAAATAAATTCTTCATTCATTTCTTTATTCATTGTAGGAAGCAAACAGATAGGTGAAATACCTATAAATTTATTTTTTTTTTACCAGTTTTTTTTTTTAATTGGGGAATTGCGGGGATGGGAACAGCAGTGGGGAACTGGGGGAAGGGGAACAGACAAGTTGCTGTCATTCTGTTTTTCAGTCTAGTTGTGGAGGACGTCGCTTCACTGGCCCAATTTGGCACCATCATTGCGCTCTTCCCGGGTGAGGCAGATCAGTTGCCAGCTTCTGGACAGCCGCTCACTGCAGCTGCTGGCCGCTCACGCTGGCTGCTGGCTACACACGNCTGGTAAAACTCCGAGCAGGTCTCCAACGCTAAGCCTTGTGTCGCCCAATCTGAAATCCAAGACTTCTCCACAGTCACTGCAGGCTTAGTCGATTAAAAAGAGGGTTTGGGTCGTGCCACCAAGTAAATAAGCCCCCTCAACTTGATTTCCTAGGTCCCGACCACTGGCATGAGATTTACCCAATTGCCAAGGGGGACAACCAGTCACCCATTGAGCTGCACTCCAAGGACATTAAGCATGACCCTTCCCTGCTGCCGTGGTCCACGTCTTACGACCCCGGCTCTTGCAAGACCATCCTGAACAACGGCAAGACTTGCAGGGTTGTGTTTGATGATACTTTCGATCGGTCAAGTAAGTATGACCCTTAGGGACGGTTCAGTGTTCATAACTGGCAAAATGTGACAATGGCACAGTGACAGGATGAGCGGGGACAGGGGACCCTTCATCTCTGACAGTGGAGACGACCTTTCACTTGGCTCTGGTTGTGAGACTTGTGTGTGTGCATCCAAGAGGCGTGTCTCACCCTTGCCTTTGTCACTTTGCTGCTGCGACATGGCCCCACGCCCAAGCTCAAAGTCGCAGTGCATTCCTGAAATGGAGCTGGACAGGGCGGGCAGTGGTGGCAGTCAGTACAAGGGAGGGTTCTCCAGGCTCTGCTGGCCCTTTGCTTCCTGACCATGATCTGGAGAGCAAGGCTGCATTTCTAAGTTCTGCAAAGCCAGGCACATAGCAGAGGGACAAAGTGGGCAGTGCCTTCCCCTGCTGCAGGTGGGGGCCAAAGCCAGTCTCAAACAGCAGCCCGGGACGCTTCAGCGGGGCTTGTCTCACCAATCCTCTGGTGAGTGTTTTGAAGTATCTGACAATTTCTTCTTGGAGTGTGTGTGTGTGTGTGTGTGTGTGTGTGTGTGTGTAAATGAAAAAAATCACACGTTTTTAAAAAATCTCTATTTCACCGACACTGTTAAGCAAATCAGTGAAATAAAAGAAGGCTAAGGAGAAACGCTTTGTTTCCCTGCAAATGAGGTAAGAAGGAATCTTCCCTGAATATGTTGGGGCTTGGTGTACAGTAACACATCTTGGTCTGGCTACATCTCTGACATGGTTAAAATTAGCCTTACTGATGTACATACATGAATCTCCTCGATGATGTTGTCATAAAGAGTACTAGAGCCCTAACTCCCACCTGCTAGGAGGTTCAAAGTTAGAAATACAGAAATTTATATTTTCTTAAACAATAAGCTCGTGTTACTATCTGTTGCTCTTTTTCTCCCTTCTGCAGTCAAATAAATCAAGTTCCATTTAGAAGGATAAACAACAAAATTAAACAGGATCCCTGAGGTTAGACCACATGAAAATTCCATTTTTTTTGTAAGCAAAAAAATGGCTGAGTGACAATTTCATATGGTCCATCCTAATAAGTTGGACTCGTATGTCCAGATAATAAATGTCCCTAGTGGTTGGACAGGAAAATGTCATAAATCAAACCAGCCCTGTGTACGTGATGGAGCCCATCCGAACCTTGCTCAGCGGTTTTAGATGTATATTTTGGCTTTCAGGGTGCCACTTCAGCACCCATAGATGGTCAGCCCTCTCCAGAATAGCTACCACTGAATTCTATTTTCATCCAGCTTCTATTGCTGAATCTTGATTATAGGGTTTCTGCGTGGTTTCCAATAGCCTTTAGGAAATATTTGAGGCTCTGAAATCACTCCCTCCCCAGGCTGAATGGAGTGAAACTCAGTTAAGTGAGAGGGCTGAGGCATTTGGACAGCGAGCTCAAATGAATGCTTCTGAGAATGGTCTGGCTGAGCTGCCCAGAGTGATTAATTCCCTGGACAGTTCTGACTTCCCCATTTCGCCTCCTTTGAACAGACATGGTCGAAATTAGACATGGACGGAAGCTCTTGCTTGTTGTAGAAAAGTGTAGTTGGAAGCAAGACACGGAGAAAGAATCCACGTTTGCTCAGGGATGGCTGTGCTAGACACTGCAGTGATCACATTTGAGTCCTTAATCTCGTTTAATCCTCACAGCAGCTCTGAGAGGTTGGTGTTACTGCCACCTCCATAAAGATGCACAAACAGGTTCAGAGAAGTTTAGCAACCTGCCTGAGGACACACAGCTAGCCAGGGGTGGGCCAGGCCTGGAACCTACATCTGTCACTTTCTTCCCACTGCACCCCACGACTGACCCACACTTTGGTTGTCCACCTCTGACTGCCCCTGTGGTTTTCCTTTTATTTTCACAAATGTTAAACTGACATTTAAAAAATAATCAAAGGAGCAAACAAATAAGACAGAAGGGAGAAATCACTTATTTTGATACATCCCAAGACTTGGATTGGTGCGGGGGAAACCAGGGTGCTTGGTGGGCGGCTGCCCCTGGGCTGTCAGGGCACGCATGTACATACTATACATACAGCAGGGCTCTGAGTGCGAAAGAGGCATGAGTTCGTGCTGACCTCCTTCTCTGAATCACAGTGCTGAGGGGGGGCCCTCTCACTGGACCCTACCGGCTCCGCCAGTTCCATCTTCACTGGGGCTCCTCGGATGACCACGGCTCCGAGCACACAGTGGATGGAGTCAAGTACGCCGCCGAGGTAGGAGGCACAGGCAGCCCGCTCTGGGCCGCGCCCACTGAAAACAGAACTCGCAAGGCCANTTTAGAATGATCTCTTTGCTCTGTTGACAGGGAATTTTGAAATTTATAGACAAAGCTGCTTGAGTAAGTCAATTAAGATGCAGATGATTAATTTTTGGTTTCTGAAAAATATATCTGGGTCTAAAAGGACGTGCTTTATAGAAATTGTCTTAAAATTTCAATTTTTATTAGCTTTCTTATAAGAAAGTACAATAGAAACATCAATCATTTTTCAAGGCCGCACACCTAAAACTATTAAATAATTCACTTTGCAAATGCTACCTACTGTTTATTTGAAATTATGTGCTATTGTGAAGACTATTGTTTATTTACTGTGCACAGTCTTTTAATTAATGACAAGTAACCCATTTTTAAAACTCCTATGTATAAACAGTAATAATGTGATGAATTACTAGATTATTGGGCTTGCTTGGTATAAAGACTTCATTAAATAATTTATCTGTATTACCACTGTATCAAATAACATGAAATTTAGTTACCAATCTTCTAACCACCACACATTCCAGAAAAAGCAAGACTGCAGCAATTGAATGCATTGGAGCAAGGTCGTGGTTTGCTAGTGCAAATAATTATGCCCTCAGTAAGAAATAAAAAAATGCCTCCACTGACTACAAACTACACCCAGCACCATCACAACGAAGCAGAAAACTGGCCCAGACAGTCCAACTCCCCAGACTTGCTGATCCAACACTGACCTAGCTGAGCTCAGAGTCCAACGGTATCTGCTTGCTGTGTTTGATTCAATTTTCCAAACTATCTCAGGTCTTGACTCCACACTGCTATTGTGTGGATCAAATAATCCCTGGTCACAAAAATACCCAGCGGAATGAGTCCGCAGGCGTCCAGGTTCTGAGTGTGTCAGGCATTCCACATGCCTTGGGGATGAGCTAGCTTTACCATGATGAGAGAGTTCCTTCTCAAGGTTTGTAATCCTCAAATACAAAATACCCGGCATCAATAAAAGTTGGAGTAAGTAAGGGTCTGCGGGTGGCAATCTGGTTCAAGACAGCACTGAAATTCGGTTGCACTTTCCTTGCTGTCTTTTTAAGAGTAACGGTATTACTGGCCTGGAACACAGAAGAACGTTTACAATGGGCTCTTAGAATAGAAATACGGACGGCAATGGCTTCTTCCATGTGAGCCATAACCAGCCATGGAAAAGCACATCTTTGACACGTGCCCGCTGCTTATGCCAGTCCGACTCCCCTTTCGCCTGGTTCACCGTGTTATAAAACAGCGTGGGGGAGGGAGGAAAAATAAACGCGTTTCTGGAAACCTGCTGTTACTTGTCTCCCAGTCTCTCAGTGGTCTCGAGGGGTGAGGTCATTGGTTTTCAGCAACAGGCTCCCTTTATGTCCCTGCCTTTCAAGAATGCAAGAGAGTCTGGACTTTCCTGGAGTAGAGGTGCAGCTGGGGGAGTGGGGGGGGGTGTCACTTCGCTCCACACCCCTGCTCTGCTCACACCGGGACCCCCGGAGCCCCCTGGGAGCCAGCCCCCCCGTCCTGGCTAAGGGGACCCTGGGGTCTGGGCTCCAGAACCAGCCGCTCTCAGACCCCAAGGACACCCGAGTTGGGGGCCTGACCTCCCGGCCCTGCGTCCCATCCTTTGCTCCTAGAACTTGACAAGTTGCCTGCAAGGGCGTCCCACCCGCGCCAGGCAAACAGGCGCGTTCCTTCCAGGCGGCATCACCGGCCGCCGCCGGAGCGCAGGGAGCTTGCAGAGGGGCCGCCGGCGCCGCCAAAGGCGGGTGTTAGGCGGTGGCTGAGCATGACTACGACACCCGGTGCTTGCAAAAAAATAATAAAAAAGTAATAATGCATGGAGGGGCCAGGGGGAACCAGGCGAAAGGCGCCTCATTTCTGCCCAGCGTGCCGCGCGTTGGACAGCCCTGCAGCTCCAGGGGGCCGGACCGGAGGGAGGGGTAGGGGGGCCTCCGCCCACCCTCCCCCTCCCCGGACAGCTGTCCAGCTCTTGGAATTCGTTGGCTTCCCTCACCCCGCCTCCCGAGTAGCACCCCAAGCCAGCTTAGCCCCCCCACCAACCCCCTCGCTGACCTAATAAGGCCATGCAGGGTGTGGGGGACCTAGATAAAAGGCGCGGGCGCGGGGACTCTGCGCGGACAGCTGGCAGGAGCCACCGAGGACCGAGAGGACAACCATGGCCAAGGAGTGGGGCTACGCCAACCACAACGGTGAGTCCCAGAGCCCGCACCCGCGCGGACGTGTGGAGGCGCCCCTGTCACTCACTGCACAGAACGCGGGGGGCTGCAGAAAACTCCCTTGCATTCTTGAAAGGGAAGAGCCTTCACCGAGCGCTTCCCAAGCGCCAAACGCTGCGCACCCCTTTTCCCTTCATGCCATCTAGCTCTCCCTAGCGAGGAGCTGTTATTACTTCCAGGGGGAAAAACAGGCTCAGAGGGGCTGGGTAACTTGCCCAAGACCACACCGCCTCTAACTGAGAACTCAAACCGGGAGGTCCAGTGGCGACTGTCCCCAACTCTGTGACACTGGGTACCCACCCACCTCTCTGAGACTGATGCGCTGTCTGCTGCTGCCGCCTAATGCAGGGAAAGGAACGTGGGCGCACCCTGCAAAAGGTGGTTACCTGTGGTCACTGCTTTTATTCCAGAAGATGGCATTGGTAAGACAGGTGGCGAGGTCCATTTCACACAGAAGCCTTCGAGGCTGTATTCTTGAGGAAGCAGAGCGGGGAGCACGGTGCTAACCAGGCTCCAGGCACGCTGGTAAAACTCCGAGCAGGTCTCCAACGCTAAGCCTTGTGTCGCCCAATCTGAAATCCAAGACTTCTCCACAGTCACTGCAGGCTTAGTCGATTAAAAAGAGGGTTTGGGTCGTGCCACCAAGTAAATAAGCCCCCTCAACTTGATTTCCTAGGTCCCGACCACTGGCATGAGATTTACCCAATTGCCAAGGGGGACAACCAGTCACCCATTGAGCTGCACTCCAAGGACATTAAGCATGACCCTTCCCTGCTGCCGTGGTCCACGTCTTACGACCCCGGCTCTTGCAAGACCATCCTGAACAACGGCAAGACTTGCAGGGTTGTGTTTGATGATACTTTCGATCGGTCAAGTAAGTATGACCCTTAGGGACGGTTCAGTGTTCATAACTGGCGAAATGTGACAATGGCACAGTGACAGGATGAGCGGGGACAGGGGACCCTTCATCTCTGACAGTGGAGACGACCTTTCCCTTGGCTCTGGTTGTGAGACTTGTGTGTGTGCATCCAAGAGGCGTGTCTCACCCTCGCCTTTGTCACTTTGCTGCTGCGACATGGCCCCACGCCCAAGCTCAAAGTCGCAGTGCATTCCTGAAATGGAGCTGGACAGGGCGGGCAGTGGTGGCAGTCAGTACAAGGGAGGGTTCTCCAGGCTCTGCTGGCCCTTTGCTTCCTGACCATGATCNTTGGTCTTAAGCTGGGAGGTATGCTCAGAGACTATTGACAGAATTTTGAAAGAATGGTGTTTCATGGCTTAAATTGACAGCACTTGTTTTCTTAGTGGAAAACAAAAGAATAGCTTATCCTAGGATAGATAGTACATGCATTGGAGAAAATGAAGGTGTTGCATAGCATTTTATATGGAAAAAAGTTTTCCTTTTAAAATACCGAAAATTAAAATAGGAACATTAAAAAAGGGTACAGACTTTCAACTATAAGATGTATAAAGGCTGAGGATCTGTCTAACTAGAGTTGACAACACTGCATTGTATAATTGAAGTTTGCTAAGAGAGTGCAACTTAAATGTCCTCTCACACACACATAAAAAACCCAATATGTGAGGTGACAGATGTGCGAAGAATCCTTTCAGAATATATACACATATCAAACCATCATGATGTAACTCTTAAATAACTTATAATTTTATTTGTCAATTATACCTCAATAAAGCTGAAAAATACTAAAAATTGTTCAATTATACCAACATAAAATATTTTAAGAATAAATTACTTAAACTTCATTATTTATTTGGAATACTGGGGGTTCCAAAAAAATGTATACACATTTTTAAGAGATGTTATCTATGCTCCAGCAGTAGTTCGCTGTAATCAGAAGTGTCTGGACACTGATGGTAACCACTTTGAGCACCTCTTGTAATTGCAGAAGTCAAACATGAGTTGTATTCATCTTTTGTTACCGGTATATGTTGAGTTTTACAATTTTAATAGTTTTTTTCCTTTCTTAAAATGTGTATACATTTTTTTGGCACCCTCTGTATATGTGATAAAATAGCTGTGTGATGTATTCCAGTAATTCAAAAATTCCTATTAGTCTTGATTACTTAATTTTGGAAAAATAAACACTTAATGATCTTAAAAGTATATAAAAATTCAAACAACTAATACAGCTATTCTCCTGCTCTGTTACCCAAAAGTTTCATGAAAAGTAATTTCTAATGTCTTTAAGAAGCCTTCATTTTAGATTTCTCAGGTTTGGGCTTTGGAAAAAAGCCCTCACAATTTTAAAAAATGGCACTTTGAATTCCTTCCTGCATGAAAACTCCCCAGCTCCTAAGTATTTATTCAATTAAATATGTTAAGTGAAAATGACAGATGTGAAGTGCTAGTTTTTGAGTGCTTACACACGTATCACTTCCTTTGGAGCTAATCAAGTAAATTGTCCAGGGCGGTTATTATTATGCCAGGAAGTTACCTGACCAGCCTGGGGTAGTAATGCTTTTTACCTGAAGAAGTGAAGTTGAGATTTTTCTAGCTCCTGTAGAGGTGAGGTGAGTGCTTGATTTTTTCCCAGGCAAACAAAGTGACTTACATCACACTGGAGAGAGTACCACTGGTCCTCCCCACCAAAAAAGATTAAAATAACACAAAAGAAAGTCAATGCAACTCTGACAGTGGCTGGGCCTGGCATTAGAAAGGCAGCACGCAGGAGAGAAAGCACGCAGGAGAGAAAGGAACTTGAAGTTGAATAGATGCCTTTTCAGCGTGATGCCTTGCAATTGCATGAACATTCCTGAGGTCTGCAGGTATAAACAGCTCTGCCTTGTCAGGTGCACCCTCTGAAGACCCCAGAATGCCACTGAGAGGAGCTTGAGTTTCACTGTTAATAACCCGTGTATCAAATAATACACCAAGGAAGTGTCCAGCTTTGTTGGAATTATATGACTGTTAGCTCTTAGCACAGTTAATTGTTAGATTAGGTGAATGCTTTTTGCATGTGAGTTGGTCACGTTTGGTTAAAGAGGTTTACTTGGACTTTCGCAGTGGGAAGGGCCGACTGGCTGTTGGTTCTAGGGGGCAGCTCAGCGGGGGAAGGGAAGGGTGGTTGCTGTGGGTATCAACATTGTCGTCCACAGCAGATGCTATGCTGTCTGCAGGTTAGCACCTGTGCCCTGAGGTATGCAGACAAGGCTCTGTTTATGACCAACAAGGAGAAAGGATTGTGTAGGGTAGGCGACTGCCCAAGGAGAAATTGGATAAGATGGACAAGGCCAGCGAAGGGTGCTAACTCTGCTAAGTGTCAACTACACTGGCCCGCAGAGGGTGAGCGCTTTACTGTATTAGCTCATTTAAACCACCCAGGACCCCGAGAGGCAGGCGTTATTCTCTCCATTTCACAGAGGAGGCGAATGGCCACCAAAATGCTCTGAAATGGTGAGACAAAACTAACAATTCCACCTGTTAATTTTACAAGCAACTCCTCTCATTCAGTTGTGGAAGATGATCATCCAAATTTGATCCTAAGAAAAGGTTTAATTAATGAGTTAATTAAGAGTTTAATTAATAAGTCTCCTTCCTTTACGATGCTCTTATTGTATTTTTAAAAAAGAAATTTGTATTTGGAAGAATAAAGTTTGAATGTATGAACCCTGATGACCAAATCTTACTACATAGATTTTGGGGAGGGGGGGTGTCTTACCTTTATATCCACGCTCCCACTCTCAAACAAAGTGACTCAGATCTGTGGTTTAGTGAGGGACACCAGTTGGGACAAGGCCCCAGGCTGCTAGCCTACTAATTTGCCATGAGCGGGAGCTACAATTTAAGATTCCATCCAAGAGGCTCAGCTGTCACTGGTGTCAAACTCAAGAGCTGGGCCTATCAGGTTCCTGTATGATATGGTGAGCCAAGCTTC